TGTGGCCGTGTGTATGTGTGTGTGTGTGTGTGTGGGCGAGTCTGAGGTGCAGGCCATGCAAAAGTCAACTAAGTCGTGCTCAATTTTTATGATGAGACGTTGACGCTGCAGCTGCGGCTGCCACTTTGTTTATCACAATTTCACTATAAAGCCTGACTGCTTGATGCCCTGTTTTGCGTTGAAACTGGCCAAAACTTTAAGCTTATTTGAAATCGCTCAGATCACAGATGACAGCCCCAGCCCAGTGCCTTTTTCGCATGCTGCAGCAGCTTAAACAGCTAAACAAATTCAAGCAAACTCAACATAATCTAGGTGAAGTATACCTTTCTTTCTACCAATGAAAGAACCAATATGCTCCACTGCATCTCAGGTGTAGAGCATGAGCAAAAACAACGGCACAAGTAGCTGCTGGCTGTTGTGGCAGGCAGACGGCGGAGTCTCGATCCCTTGCCTCTTGGCTTCCCTCGCGCTTTATGAATGGCCGCGCCAGCAGCAGTCCCACCTCATACAGCCCTAGCTCAAGCTCTGAGCGAAAGTTGGCAAAGAAAAGAAATTAAATGCACTTCCTTTTATGCGAGCTTCTCATATTTTGCGAGGCGCCAGCCCCCGCTCCGGCCACACAATGCGCTAATAATGGAAGTGCACTTTTGACACAAAAGGTGGCTGTGGCGACAATGCGACCGCCAACCGCCCCACCGTAACTGCGCAGCGACCCACCTCTTGACTGGTTTATTGCTCATTCGCTGCAACGGCGATTAGTCCGAGTGCGGGCGAAGTGTGGCGTGTGGCGTGTGGCGACTGCGTTGCTCTGCTCTGACCTCGAAGGAGATTAGAAATTTTTGTGGCATTGCTTTCACTTCATTGTTCAGCGGCGATTGCTGTTGCTGTTGCTGTTGCTGTTGCCTCCTGCCACAAGGCCAGTGGCAATCATTGGACGGCATTCGCTACGCGCTGATCCATCGAGATTACTTTTGAGCTTCAACTGATTCTGCTACTGCTGCTGCTTTTCCTTCTTCTTCATCATCTGCTGCTTCTGCTTGCCCTAAATGCGTTTATGACGTCATAATTTCGAGTGGCGCTCATTGAGCAGCTCGCAAGCTGATTGAATTGCTGTCCACGATTGAAGTGCGTTTCCCAAAGGTAAAAGAACAATGGCAGCTTTAAGCAGAAACAGTGCGCAAAGTACAAAAGCTCATTATGTTGTGTGTGTATGTTTGGGTGTGTGTGTGTGTGGGCCTCAGATTCGCCAAGACAGTTCCGTTCTGAAAGATATTTAATACTTGCTTTAGCCGCCATCAATGCATTCTCTAGCTAAAAACTGCTATACATGATTAGAACTATCTGATCTATGTCTAAGATATCAAGAAAATTTTTATGCAGATATATATTATATATAGCTTGAGAGACTACAGTAGAGAATTATTGTTTGAGCAGTAGAAAAAGCTTTGAAGATTTGACCATGAAATTATGTTTGTTTCCTTATTGCTAAAACTGTTCTATTGTTAGCAGATGATAAGAAGATGTTGAAGATTAGAGCTCAAGCTCTCTCTCTCTCACTCCGCCATGCTATATCTTTTACTCACCCAACTCAAACTCTCTCTCTCACTTTCTCGTCCGCACACTTGTCATAAAATCAAAGTCTTCAATCGAAACATACGCAGCTGCAAGCGGCCGACATGGCGTATGAGTAATTTGCTAAGGCAAAGGCAAAGGGCACAGGGCAACATAATAAGGTTGCTTAAGCCACGCCCCATGCAGTAGGCAGGGCGACAGACCGCCCCGTTCGCCAGACGCGCATCTGAGCCGCAGTAAAAATAAATCAAATAAATAATAAATGAAACGAAACGAATCAAATGCGAAATAAAAATCAATGGCACTCGCCACTTCAATGAATTGGAATACACACACAGCGCACACATGCAGTTGCTTTACGGTTTGATTTCAAATAAAATTGTGCTTCATTGAATCGAATTGAAGCAGCAAAAATGAACGAAATGAGACTGAGAGAGAAAGGCAGAGGCAGAGACAGAGAAAGGGAGGTCAGAGACACACGCACAATAACAACAAATAGAACTCATCTTGCTGCAGTTGCCTGGGCATTTGGTCAATTGCAATTAGACGTCGCTGAAGTAGTGCCCTGCACCGCCAGCCAAGTGGTGCTGCACCACTCAATAAAAATTCAACTTGGCAAGCATTGCAGCACACACACACCACACACACACTTAGACAGAAAGAGACACTCAGAAAGAGCGAACATATCTGACCCAAATATTGTACATAATGTGTTTATGTACGCTGAGTGAGGAGCTGAGCGGCTGAGCGGCTGTGCGGTGCTGCTGCTGTGGTGCGTGGTGCGGAGGCTGGCTAAGAAATTGCAACACTTGAAAACTTGAAAATGTTTTGCCAACTTTGCGCTGGCAAAAGTTTGCGAAGCGGCGCAGCGACAGCTAACTGCAGCCACTACCCATTCCTTATAGCTGCTGCAAGCTCTACGATCAACCACTTTCCCCTCCCCTTTCCCGCACTCTCTCTCGCCCCAGTTTCTGCTGGCTTCCACCAGCCGATGACTGTTCCCAGTCCAGCAATAATTAGTGCAAACAATTGCGCCATTTGAAAAGTCTCCTTGGCCTCCACACTGCGGCATTTTGTTTCAAGGTTTCTTTGCCAAGTTGAAAACAACCCCCGACCCCTAGCCCGTGCAACTACCCCTGCCTGCCGCCCCCACAACTGCGAGAAAAAAAGTTGCCAAAAACTTTTGGTCCAGAGGCAGTCAGCATATTTTTTCAAGCAAATTGGCTGAGCTGCAAGCCGGATATCGGCTTGGGCTCACACTGTTCGCCAGGGTTGCCATAGCTTTCCAATTGCCAGGTAACAGCTCATTAAATGGAACTCCAGCTTTTATTATTGCGTCGCCTATTCATTTTCATCTATTTTGATGTGCCACGTGCTTTGACTTGCGTTTCCATAGCTCACAGTTGACTTTGTATGCACAATCGATAGTTATGTAATGATTAAGTGCCCAATAAAGTGAAAACTCGCCAATTAAGAGCAATTAGTGAAACTCTCTCCTCTAACTCTTATCGAAGTGGAGACTCAGTCTTCACAGAGACACCAGGTAAAGCCACTGAAAGTCTCTAACTCTGGCTAACGATAACTTTATCGGTATCTATCGATATATGAACCTATCGATCATATACAATAACTCTTGCCTTACAGCTGTGGAAAATATCACATATTCAATGGGTAACCAAATAATTATTAGTATCTTTTTTGGTTCGATTTCTTGTTCTTCAGTTTTCTTTTTAATGCCATATATATTTCCATATATATATATATACTACTTACTATATAGATTTTCGATATGCGATCTGCTCGCAATTGAACAACTTGTATACATATTATAAACATTATCGATGGACTTGCCCACGATTGTTAAGCAATGCATATTCGTATCATACTTAACTCTAAGTATTTTTGTATTTTCTTACTCTTAACTCATAGTTGTTCTATTTTGCATGCGTTTCGAAAACATTCCCAGCATTTCGTCGCTATCGATTGCTGAGCAAAGCTACCAATCGATATCAGTGCACATGTGTTATTGATAGTGAAATGCGTCTCAATTCCTATTGATAAGAATTGTGAGACGCTTTAAATATTATGACAAGACACACAATTTGATTGAAAATAATTGTTATCGATAATATGCGCACATGTGTTATCGATTGTTATCGATCAATTGTTATCGATATAAACTGTTAACAATGGAAGAGCCTAAATATGCTGAATTAGTATTTGATTGGAAATAAGTGTTATCGATAACAAGCGCATATGTTGTATATCGATGATTGCATTTCGATTTGTGTAAAATTCCATTTCGTTTTCGTTTTATTTTCGTTTGTTTGATAAATGAATTGTTGCTGTTATCGATAATACACTAATCACCATCGCTCAGCTCGGCAATCGATAAACGTCTTTCCACTCGTTTTACATAACATAAATATGTATATGTATTTTATCTGTAGTTTCAATTGGTCACAGCTTCATGGACTTACCGCAGCGCTTAATCACTATATTCACATATAGATATATATATATATTTATATTTATATTTGTATATATATCTAAAGTGCTTGAAGCTAATTTACAGCTTCAAGATGAATATTGTATACAAACCATTCCAAAGCTGTGTGCCAAAAACGTTTTGCACCTGTACAAAAAAAAGAAGAAAAATAAAAGTTAAATACTTCAATATTTACCTTCGATTTTGTAGTTACACACACTCATACACACACACACACACAGATTCAGGCTGTAAAAATAGATTGATTCTATGTACATTTATTTGCCAAGCTGTTTTCAATAATTGAATTATCCAAGCAAAAACACATTTTCAAGCTCTCCATCTCTGTGTGTGTGCGTGTGGGTGTGAGTGTGTGTACACAACAAATTAAATACTTCACAGCACACACACACACACATAACCAGCACACACACACAAAGACAGAGACACAGATTTAGGAACATATTTTTCACATCTATCATCCATTTCGCTCACTCTTATATACACATACATATGCATATGATAATATTTATGAATATTTTCTCAATTTATTTCGTTTACTCTTAAATAGAGAAAAAAAAAAAACAAATATTTTTATTCTTATCTTATATCGATATTAGTTAAAGTTCAATTACTCGATATTCTTCGTACATCTATATGTATATATATATATGTATATAAATTCATATATATGTATATATATACACAACTATATATATATTTAAAATACATACTAGTTACAACTCGATGTTTTTACACTTTGTTTTCTTATAATTTAAACGAAACAAGCTGAAAGCAAAACAAGAAACAAATCAACAGTAAAACGTAAACACGACCAATTTTGAAAGCACACAACTAACAAAATATATTTCTCTTTTGCAAACAAACCACAATTAACAATCAACTGAACGTCGACTCTCGGATCAACTACTTAACGCAGTCGCGTTTCTGTGATGCGCGGCCAGGTGATAACGCCCCAGGGCCTGGGCATTGTGGGCATTCGCGTTTCCGTGGATCGTGACTCACGCTTCGGCTTCACACTGACACGCCAAGGTGGCTGGTAAGTAAAGCACTTTGTTAACTTGTAGTTAAGTTCATGTTAAACTAAACTGGCTCACAGATGAGCAACTTTTGCTCGATGATTGTAATTCCTTAGAGATTGGCATGAAATGGTTAATCATAAAAAATATAAGTAGATAGAGAGAGAGAGAAAAAAATGTATATATTTATAGATAGCGAGATAGCTTAAGAGAGAGACAGATAGATTGACAGTGAGATAGGTAGATAGCTAGCTAAATAAATAGAGAGATGGATATAGAAACATAGATAGATGGATAGATAGATTGATAAATATATGGATAGATATGCTGAGATTTATATAAACGGAGAGATAGATATACAGATAGAGAGATTGCTAGAAAGAGAGTGACATAAACAGATTGATATATAGAAAGATATATTGAGAGACATATAGATATATAGATATCTTATAATGAAAAATTTAAATTAGATTTAAGTTTACTTAAGCCCAAAAGTTCAGTTTCTTTTTTGCTCTTATTATTTGTAGTAAATTTTACTAATATATTTTTGGCAGTTTCTTCAGCTTAACTATTCAAGAATTTCATAATTGTTTCGTGAAATCATTTAACATCCAATTGAATACCTAAAATATGCCCATCTTCTATAGTCGTTTGTTGGCTCCAAGTGTTGGGCTAAGCGTTTTCATTAATTTTTATTGCAGAGGCTCGCGCGCTCTCAGACTTTAATCTTCTGGCCCTCGAAATGCAAATTACTTACGTATGGGTAATTTTTCATAATTTGTCAGCCAAATGGCGTCGCGTCTTGGCCAACTTTCTTGCGTCGCTTGCTTGCTCTCTTGGCCATCTCTTGATTACATTTTGTTAATAGAATTTCGTTGGGCACAGGCCAAGTGTGCTGGCAGATAAAGCAAGTTATCACTTTTTAATTAAATCTTTCGCTTTGATGTGCCACCACCTGACCCTGGCCATCGTCTCCTTACCCATCGTAGATCCCGGCTAGAGGCGGACACAGAAAGAGCAAAGGCATCTGCGGTTTTGTCCTTCGGCTCTTTCTAAGCACCAGCTAAAACTTACTTAAGCGCGCTTTGTCAACTTGTGGGATACGTGACAACTGAACCTAAAACACAAACAAAAAGTCTTTATTAAGCGCTGACCAAATCACATTTTCAAACGAATTTAAAACAGCAGAAAATGTAAATAAAATAAAAAAAAAAATAAACAAATGAAATTTATGCTGATGAGCTGTAAATGCAGCAAAAGATAGAAGCTAAAAGATAGAAGCTAAAAGATAGAAGCTAAAAGATAGAAGATAGAGTATCAAAAATCGATAACTATCGTTACTTATCGACCGCTGTCTCATATACACGTGTTCTCTAAAGCTTCCCATCGCAAAAATTTGTGAGAGGAGAAGAGCTTAGTGTATGCTCTTTGACTTGGTCCCAGATTATGCTCTATCAGCCAGCTGGTAAAATATTAAGTCTCAACGATATCTAAATTTCACTTCCACTTCGGGCTTATTGACATTGCCATCAATAAGAAATAATTTGAAGCATTTAAAAATCATAGAGACATGCAAATATTTTTAGTTTTTGCTTCTGCCATTCCAATCAGCGTGCCAGACACGAAGCCAGACAAAAATTTATCTGAAATATATATATATATATATATACTTTGTCAGCAGCATTTGAGCGTCATTCGCATTTGCTTGAATGAAATTTAAATCAAAGCACACACACACAGACAGACAAAAAGGGAAAATGAAAATATAAAATGAAAATAGAAATAGAAAATGGCAAAGCTGCGCCAGAGATGAGGCTTGGGGCTAGAGATACACAGTCAGAGATAGAGTTAGAGCGAGATAGAGAGAGGGGCAGGTGTGGGCGGGGACTTGCGCCAATCCAATATATCTAATATAAATATTTTTGCAGTTGTTTTTGGTAAAAAGGATTTCCGCTGTTGCCAGCACAACAACAAAATCAACCCAAATGTTATTGTTGTTGTGTTGACATTTTCTTTTGCCTAACATGCATGTGTGTGTGTATGTGTGTGTGTGCGCGCGAGTGTGTATGTGGGTGTCTTTGCTGGCCAATTTAAATAAACATTTCGCACCCGTTTTGCCTGACGCTGCGCTGCTGATTTTATTATGTCCAGCAACAACAAAGTGTAGAAATACCTTGGAGTGCTAGACTAGTAGATGCCCTATAAGCTGTTGGGGCAAGTTAAAGTAGAGCAGGTAAGCAATGGAGAGCAAGCGAGGCAGATGAAAGAAGCTCCTTGCCCTGAACTGGGAAATGAAGCCTTAGAAAAACTTGCAATGAAAACTGCATATAAAACTGAAGACTTAGCTGAAAACCATATGAGAATTTCAAATAGAAGAGGAGTCAAGTTGAATGTATTATAAGTTTATATATATCTCATATAATTAAGCACTAGCTGCGTCTTTTGCCATATTTATTACATGCCTACGCCTCGCTGCAGTATACCCTAAACCAACAGTTGACATGGCTACAGGGTATGCCACACAAATAAAATCTGTGCAGCAGCCAGATAGACAGAGAGCCAAACTAACTGTCTGATGATTATTTGTGTTTACTTATACACACACGCACACACACACAGGCAGAGACAGAGACAGAGAGACACAGACCGTCAGCAGTTGGCGCATTGTTCGCTTGGTAAAAGTGTTGCATACTTATGTGAATGGCTGTGTGCTAGCGTGCGATTACATTTTTACCTACTGTGCCATAATTTCTCATTAGCCCAGTGGCCGTTAAATGCCGCTGGCGTTGACCATTTTTCACATTTGCCTGACCGCCCACCCAGCTGCCGCCCATCGTCGCCCGTTTTGCAATCAGCAAAGGCAACAACAACGTAAACAATTATAAAGCAAGCGCCCAACTGTGAAGGCAGAAGAACAAAACGCAAAACAAAACAAAATGAAACAGTAAATATATATATATATATATATATATATATATATATATTATATATTTATGTATATATATATAAACACACAGAAAATCAGAAACATGTTCTGATTTCTGTTGTCCTGTGTATGCCAGTAAGTCCCGAGTCCCGAGTCCCGAGTCCTGTGTCCTGTGCTGTGTCCTTCGTTGTCAGCTTCTTAGAGCTCTGATTTGGTGGAGGACATAAATTCTTCAGTTTTTATTTATTTTTATTATGGCTACTTTGTTGTTGTTTATCTATCTTGTTCAGGGCTCTGTGTGTGTGCGCCTTTGTCCCCTTCTTCGTCTGCTTCTTGCTTGGGCTTCCTTTGAAGGATTTTAAAGTTCCTGGGCTCTTGCTTCGGCACTTACTTCTGGCCCCGTCGTCTTGTTGCTACATTCTTATTTTTAGCTGGCAATAATTCCTGTTTATGTTCACATTATTTTTAGCTCTATATAGTCCGCATATGATGGCCACACACACCGTACAGTGCTCTATAAAATTAAATGTGCCGGCCTTCAAAGCAGCAGCAGCAGCAGCACACAGTATGCTATGAAAATATTGCACACTTGCATGCAATAAACTAAATGTTTCCCATTTGGATTCCCATTGAGTCCGAGTCTTAGTTACTCGTTGCAATCATCTCAAAGTAAGTCGCCCAACACACAGGGTGACCATGTTAAATACAATTTAGTTAACGTGCCAGCAGCTGACCTCATTTGCTGCTCTGCTACTCTGGCCACTAGCAAGGCAAAGTTGGGCAGCGAACTGGAAAAAGAAAAGGATTCAATGATATATTGAAGCGAATTGGAAACCAGATGACCACCAATCAAAGCTGTGTAAGACACGAGCTAAGGCAAGGCTTATCTAACAGAGACATATAGAAGCTCTAAGTTAGTTTAGTATTTGCTCAAATGATAGGCAGAAAAAACACTTGTAGAAAACGAGACTTAATTGGCAGCTTCGCTTGCAGCCTGCCAGGTAGTGGCATGGAAATGGAGTGTTCGCTCAACTTCTCTGCTACGGAATATCTTTCAATTTGTCATGCAGCTTATTAGTATGAATTATGCGTATAGTTTTCGTGCTCACTGTGTGCGCATACACTGGCTTCTGCTAGCTCTGCTCTGTGGCATGCTCTGCTGCTTTTCCCTCTTTTCGGCTTAGCAACTTAACGAGCAACACCCTCACACCATCACACACACACACACATGCATGTGTGAGTACATGTATGCGCGCAATACCTACTTACATATGTAACACATACTTTTCGGCGCCACTGTTGCTTGTTAATGCTCACTCGCTGTTTTTTTTTTCTTCTTGCTGCTGCTGCTCTTATTGTTGTTGTCGCTGTTACTCTTAATGTTCGCGCGAGTTTGCTTTTATGGCTTTGTATTTATAATGTTTATTTCAATTTTATGCTCTTATTAAGCTTGCCACACACACACACACTCACACGCGGGCAGACTCATACACAACACGCTGAGCTCCATTTTTATACCCTGAAATATGCAATCTGGGCATATGGGTCCTGCGAAAATATGTGTAGCAGGCAGAAGGAGGCGTGGCACAGTCTGCAAATTCTTAGTCGATAACGATAACTCATGTCATAATCGATAATTTGATTTTCGTTTGAAGCCATAACCTGTTACCCTCCTCGAAGGCTTGTCAATTTGATTAAAAAAGTTCATCTTGAGGAAAGGTAAAAAGCTGTCGAACGCTTCAAATAGCAGCTCTGCTCAGAGTTCGGGGTATCTGCTAGTCGGGCATTGCCATGGCTCACTTGTATTCATATTACATTATCTGTAGCTCCTTAGGCTATATACCCTGTAGAGCATATTAAGTGGGAAATTCGACTTTTTATTCCTTTTCTAATTTGTTTGCTTACGCTTTCCACATTAGCTCTTAGCAGCTTTTTCGCTCTCCATTGCTTTAGTTTGTTAATATACATTTAGTTGCCAACTACAAGGTATTGCCTCAGTCGTGCCACCTATCGAGTATAGATTTCTTACTTGTTTTTCGCTGTTCTTTTGGCTTGCTGACTCGCTGTTGTTCTGCTTTTGAATATGTTTAATTTTCATGTTCTTTTCGCTGCTTTACTTTTATGCTCGTTCACATTGTGAAATGAGAGTTTATTGGCTTTGTGCATTGTTTCTCACAGGTGTGTGTTGGCCATTTAATAGCATAAACGTGTCTACCCTTGCTCTCGCCCTCGCCCGAGCCCTAGCCCTTTGGGTGCTAGCCTTGAGCCTCTCTTTAGACTTACTCTAAATTGAGATATATATGATCAGTGTGTTCTGCCTAATGGCTCACTGTTGACTTACCTTTTAGATATAACTGTAAATTGTAATTGAAGCGAGCATGCCGCAGTCGATTACGCCCGCTTGCAGCACTCAAACTGGCGCCGTTTTTTGTAGCTTTGCTTCATTTGCTGTCCTGTTGCTGGTTTGCCATTGTTGCTGTCGTCCTTTGACATGCATTGTTGATTGTTGTTGTTGCTGCTGTTGTTCCTGCTGTTGTTGTTGTCAGCCCGAGTAGTAATAAAGGTAATAAAAGTCATTATATTGTGCTGCAGGGGATTATTGTTGGCATTTTTAGCCACATATTATAAAAGTTGTAAATTGCGTTTGTGTGCGTCGCGCATGAATGCGACGAAAAAAAGGCAACAGCAACAATTGTCATAACAATAACGGCAATTGTAACTCTTTTTAAGCGTGACAACAATTAAATTAAATTAGCAAAAATTGTAACAAATATTTAATGCGATACCCTGTGGCCACAAGCAGTCGACAATGCGGTAGCATAGGAATGCAGATTGCTAATCAGACAATTGCTTGCGTCAATTAATAAGCATATTAATTTAGAAATTGCTTGCAATTTAATTTAGAATACAAACCTATTTAATATATATACTAAATATATATAGGTTATAGGGGATAAATAATAAACAGAGTCTGCTTCATGTCGTAATTGTTGCTGTAGTTTGAGTGAATGTGAGGCTGAGAGCTTCTGTTATTAAATAATGATCCGAGCTTACGCGTCTTATTATCACTCGAAGAGAGAGAGCGGGAGGAACACAGACAGCTCAAGCCGAACGCAGTGCCAAGCGAGTGGAACAGAGATAGCTCAAGACGAACGCAGTGTCAAGCGAGTGGAACAGAGATAGCTCGATCTGAACGCAGTGTCAAGCGAGAGGAATAGAATTAGCTCAAGCCGAACTCACTGCCGAGCGATAGCAACAGAGTTAGCTCAAGCCGAACTCACTGCCGAGCGATAGCAACAGAGATAGCTCAAGCCGAACGCAGTGCCAAGCGAGTGGAACAGAGATAGCTCAAGACGAACGCAGTGTCAAGCGAGTGGAACAGAGATAGCTCAAGCCGAACGCAGTGTCAAGCGAGAGTAATAGTGTTAGCTCAAGCCGAACTCACTGCCGAGCGATAGCAACAGAGATAGCTCAAGCCGAACGCACTGCCGACTGCTGCTGAGTGAGTGAGTTCGATTGGGCTGCTTAGCTCATACGAACAGAGTCGTTGTGATACTCAGTGAAGCAGCTTAAATTTATTCGAATAATCCTACTTTGTTGAGGTAGAGTAGATAGAGAATTCGTTATTCCAATTGCAGCTGACTAAATTGATAAAAGGCCAGACTGACTGCTGGCAACTACTGCTAGCCCGGGGCTACGACTCACTAACCCAACTTTTATAGCTAAATTGATTAATTCAATATTAAAAGCTTCACTTATTTCCATGCTGGCCACGCTCTCACGCTGTCTGCCTTTACAGGGCATCGCTGAGTTCGCATTCCCAGTCGGAGCTTGCCACGGTTTATTTCATTTGTTTTTATGCTTATTTATCGAAACGATTTCAAATGCGGCTTTGCTTTTGTTTATTATAAATATAAATATAATTATGCTGCTTGTTGTTGTTGCCATTGGATTTTCAATTTTTTTGTAGAACATATGCTGTTGTTAAAGTGGGCGTGGCTACAATGGATATGGCCTAGAGTTGGCCACAAATCTTTGTGTTGCTCTCTCTCTCTCTCTTCCTCTCAATGTGATTTGCTGTCTCTTTCAGCAGCTGCTTCATACAAACACAATTAAAAATCACATTAATTAAATATTTCCAAAGCAAAAGTTTTGCCATTTCTTAAGCTTTCTGCGCCACTGGCCACGCCTGGTTGTTGCTGCTGCTGCTGCTGTTGGCCTTTGTTTTCCAACACTGCCGCTGCCGCCTCAGCTATTGCCTGGTCGAAGTTTTTGCAACTTTTCGTACGCCAATGCGAAAAATACTCGCAATAATGAGAAGGCGGCCCGAACGCAATCGCCATCATTATATTTAATGCGGCTAAAAGCGGTCGTCTCTATGAGTGGGCTGTGTGTGGGCGTGGCTCAAGGGTTGGGCCACAGCTGACTGAGGTCTTAACTTATGCTCTAGCAATTGTTGTCGCTGCCATCTGCTGTTGTTGTTGCTCAAGCAAAAATCCTAAAGTTTTTCAATTTCGACAAACAATTGAGGTATTATCTGCTCAGCGGGAGCTGCTCTAAATGGGCATTGGTATGGGGCTTGGTGCCCCGGATATTGTGGGCTATGGACTGCCTGTTTGCTCGTGCGTCAAACGCATCCAAAAACTTCATTAAAATATTAATTTGCATGTTTTGTGCCGTGAAATTTGATGTTGCACAAGTTTTTTTTTTATTCTATGTCTAACTCAAGCTCGCTTTCTCCCTCTCCTTGCAGGTTTGACGTTTTGGTTAATGGCGGCGGCGCTGTCACCTTACAATTCCAGCGTTCGCCCTTCCGCCCACTGACACGCACCGTTTTCGTGCCCTGGAATCGCATTGTGGTGCTGCCACCAGTCCAAATGCAGCTGAGCGACGACGACGAAACCACGAGTCGCAATATCAAGTAAGTGCTCAAGCCAAATCTCGTTACAGAACTCTTTAGTACAGATGGTCTATGTCGGTGTCTTAATGCCAATTTGATTGTCTCTTCCGCAGGGTGGCTCCATTGAATCCGGCGCTAACGTTCCTCAACTCGATACACTATCATACGGCGGACGAGGCGAACGATGCCAGCAAAGTGTGCATGGATCACGATCACGAGAAGCTCAAGCCGCAGCTGATTAGCACTTGGATGCCAAATGGCGTGGGCGCCATGCCCGGCAAGCGTGTCATCTTTGCCGAGACCCAGGTGACTATCCCCCTTTTACCTGCGCGCCATTTTGCTTGGCTCATCCTCTCTAATGCCGCTCCTAATTAGCGGGCCGTGCAGCGGGCAACAGCTGGACGCTGCGTAGTTTTAATTAATTTAAAGTTCGCCTTAATGACATTATAACTTTGCAACGCGCCAAGCACGAGCACACAATAATTCTGCACAGAAAGAGACAGAGACAGAGACAGGGCGAGAGGGAGAGGGAGAGGGAGAGTGCGGGTGCGGGTAAAGAGAGATGAGCATTACATTTAATTGCTGCATTACGCCGTGCGCTCCAGCTGTGCTCCGGCGAGCGAGCGAGCGAGCGAGCGACCTGACCGCAAGGCTAATAACTAACTCACTTAGAGGCAGCGACAATTATAGTGCTCTCAAAGGCCCACCCCGCTGCCCTGATTGCCTTCACCTAACTTTCCCTTTGACCTAGCTGTTCCTTTTCATGCTTTCGTCTTCTGCTTTTCGCTCTGGCAATCATTTTTGATTGCCTGCATTTTGCAGTCAATTTTGCAAGCATCCTGCAGCTTAATGCGTTGTTCAACACTGCACTTTAGTGTTACTCCGGCTCTCTCTTTTCCTCTCCTTCCCTCCCTCTCTCTATCTAAGTCACCTGCTTATACCTTTCACTCATTCTCTTATCATATCCCTCCCTCCCTCGCTGCTCAGACTTGATCAATGACTGTATCTAAAGGCACTTTCCAACACTAAACCATTTTGACTTCCCTTCCACAGATTGTCCAAGAGTCCATTCAAATACCCGGCTCGGATCTGCACCTCACATATCAATCGTCGCAAGCCTCTGGCTATTTGAGCATCGTGCGCATGCGCCTGACCTCGGAGGTAATACCCAAGACCCTCACCCACGTGCATGTGGGCGTGGAGATCGAGGGCGCACTGCATGTGAAGACCTACGAAGCCGACCCGAACTTGATACACACGTTCGCCTGGAACAAGCGCAACGTCTACAGGCAGAAGGTCTATGGCGTGACCATTGCTCGCATCTCCGTCGGCTATCAGCACAGCACTTGCCAGACTCCGGTTTGGATAACGCAAACGGCCAAGCTGCAGGGCTACGACGTGGACATCTCTGACATTGGCGGCTGGGGCCTGGATATACATCATCATTATAACTTCCACGAGGGCATACTGCAGAAGGGCGACGGCTCCACGCTGCACATGAAGGAATATCCTCGCACAGTCAAGGTCGTTATGGGCACGGGCCTGCAGCGTCCACTCAATTGTCCGGACTATTGCAACGGCGTGGCCAAGGATGCCAAATTGCTGACACCCATTGCCCTGGCCACCGGACCCGATGGCAGTCTCTATGTGGGCGACTTCAATCTGGTGCGCCGCATCACGCCCGACGGCAAAGTCTTTACCATACTCCAGCTGAGCGCTACGCAGGTCTCGTATCAGTACTATTTGGCCGTCTCTCCGGCTGATGGACATTTGTATATTTCGGATCCGGAACGGCATCAAATACTGCGGCTTCTACGACTCGAGAAGGTCAAGGATCCCAGCATTAACAGCGAGCCCGTTGTGGGCAGCGGTCAGCGCTGCATTCCCGGCGATGAGGGCAACTGCGGCGACGGCGGTCCGGCCTTGCAGGCGCGTCTCTCCCATCCCAAGGGCCTGGCCATTGCCGCCGATCGCACCATGTACATTGCCGATGGCACCAACATACGCGCCGTGGACCCCAAGGGCGTCATTCATACGCTCATTGGCCACCACGGGCATCACAATCATTGGAGTCCGGCGCCCTGCTCGGGCACCCTGATGGCCAATCAGGCGCAGCTGCAGTGGCCCACAGGTCTGGCACTCAGTCCACTCGACGGTTCGCTGCATTTCATCGACGATCGCCTCGTCCTGCGTCTCACGTCCGACATGAAGATACGCGTCGTGGCTGGCACTCCGTTGCACTGCAGCAACAATAACCAGGACAATCGCGTCAACAAGACGGCCACGGATAATGTGCTCGGCACAGTGCTGGCCATGGCCTTCTCGCCCTTTGGCGATCTCTACATAGCGGACAGCGATTCGAGGCGCATCAACTCGATACGCGTCGTCGATACAGCTGGCAATATGCGTTACTTTGCTGGCAAGCAGGAGGGCACCGGGTAAGTAATCAATGCAGAGTGAGCTGCCTGACCGCCGCCCCCTTTCAACTCGATACTGCGGGCTGGGGGTCGTTGGGGACGCGCAACTTGTTTATGCGCATATTTGACCCAATTATCTGACGGTTCGAACGCTTTTTGGCTATTTGCATTTTGCCAAAAAGCGATATCTCTAGAGGGGCATAAATAAAAACCGACATGCGCTAAACATGGACGCGTCGACAGATAGATGCACTAAAGTCGGACTCTAGGAAAAGGCGATATATGTCGAAAGTAGGAAAGAAACTTGAGCTTATTGTCAGTTCAATAAGGTGAGAGAGAAAGTTATAAAGTATCAAAGTTGGAGGCAAATAAGTTAAGTCTACCAGCTGAATTGTAGGCTAAGACGCGATATCGATTTGTTATCGATTTTTGCACTTAAATTTTTGTTTAGGCAAGAAAAACAGAATTAAAAATTCAGTTCCTTCAGCTCAAATTAAGCATCGGTTAGTAGAATAGGCCATTGCCTTTGGCAAGCACAGTCTCTAGTCGTGTACTCCCGCTAGCCAACTAGATGGCCAACAGGGTATACATATTTTTGAGCTGCACTTGCATAAAATTTGCTGCAAGTGCAACCAAAACTCGGGCAATAAATGTCAATGCAGCTAGGCTAGTGCTGCATATATAGATGTGTGTTTGTGTGTGTGTGTTTGTGTTTGTGTGTGTATGCGCATTTGAAGCCAATCGATAGATGTTCCGCACAGCTTACTTTATTTGACTTGATTAAATCTTCTTTAAAGCATCAAAAACAGTGACCAAAAAATTAATTGGAATTTTGACAGTTGGGAATTGTTGGCCATGCGTGTGTGTGTGTGTGTGTGTGTTGGTGTGTGTGTAAGTGTATTAGTGCCACATTGCCATTGAGCATATTTGCATTTTGTGCTGCTGCATGCAGCCACCACACGCAGTGTTGGCAAATGCATTGAATTCAATTCAATCGAATTGGCAAGTGGAAAGCAGCTCGAGCGCCTCGCAAAATGAAATGATTTCTGATTAAACAGTGTTGCAAACTGCTTGAAAATTAACGAGTGGCTAGCTAAGCCAACAGCACAATTGAAGTTGCAATTGAAAACAAGTGAGCTGTGCTGTAAAGCGCTGCAAAGAAAGTGTTGAACAATGCATATTTATCGAGCTGCAAATGAGTTAAAAATAAATAAAAATATTTGGACAAACTGCATTTGAAGCAAGTGCTGAGAAAAGTTTGCTAAACTTACTTTGAGCGCAAATGGAAAGTGTTGGAAAATGCAACCAGTTGGATTTCAGTGTTGAATAACTCAAACTACAAGGGAATTCAAAACATTTCCAAAGAATGAACTAGAAAAAACTATGACAAATGTAAAATGGAATTTGTGACTGCATGAGTAATAATAAAACAGTGTTGATTAACTTTTTAAAATGAAGTCGAAATAAGCAAACAATTTGTGTAAGCTGCATATTAGATGAGAGTTGTATTGTGGGAGCAGAAAGCTGCGTAAAAAACATACAAGAAGCGAAAGAAAACAGTGTTGTAAAACGCTTTGACACTCAATTATGAAGCAAGTAGGCAACAAAGAGAACTAACTGAACAGTGTTAAGAAGTGAAATGGCTGTCTCTTGAAGGGAAATATCGATGAAGAGAGAGAAAAGAGCAAGAAAGAGAGAGAAGTCTGTGAAGCGAGAGCTATTCGAACTGAAATTTGAATTTGAATGTATTTCAAGCTCTCCATTGTGGGTCTTTTCTCCCTCTCTCTCTCGCTTATACTCTCTCCCGCTCTCCCTCCGCACAAAATTAAACAAAGTAAACTAATTAATTTGTTTCGCTGATTAGTTTGCGGCTGCCCAGAGCCACGCAGTAGGTGCAGCATGGCAAGGTTGGGTGCATGCCATAAATGTGGCATATTTCACACACACACACACACATATACACACACAGCAAGGCACACAACTATGTGCAACTTTATGCAGCTGGCAGTTTATTTAATCTAATAGAATTCTATTCCGACGCTTGTTTTGATGGACAGACCGATCGAGGGGCGGCGAGGGGGGCGCGTGAGCCACTGTATGGAATTAAGGGGTTCAGCTATTGTAAAGCAGCTGCTGCTGTTGGCCCTTTCTTTTTAAAATGGGGGCGTGGCTGGCACAGACGTGGCAAAAGTAATTAGCAGACACCGCAAACGGCGGCCGTAGCCAGCGACAGAAACTATAAATCAACCTTTTTATTTAGTAGCTACTGCACGAAGCAGCCAGCAGCAGCGAGGGCGTTCATTTCAAGTGGGCGTGGCCGGAGCGCGATAAGCGAGCACGACAGAAGAGCAAGCGCTGGGGCGAGTGGGGTCAGGTTTGCGTTGTCTGCACTTTACTTTAAAATGTTTATCGAACAAACAATGTCATCATAAATACGCGTCGGGTTACAAAGCGCCTCGGCCAGCCAGCAAGCAGCTAGCACCACCCTGAGCACCACACGCTGTGTGTCCCTGTGTCTGTGTTCCGGCTGCGGGGCGTGGCAGCGACATGTAAACGATGCCTGTGCCACAGATAACGGCGGTTGGGTGAATGGACGACTGTTTGTGTGGGTGGCTGGGTGGTTGGGCGGTTGGGTGGTTGGGTGGTTGGCTTAAGGCTCTAAGCATTTCCTGTTACATTACTAACGCTCTCGCAATGCTCTCGGCATCTCTTGTTCTTCGTTTTACCACAGCACTCAGACCTGCGACTGTGCAATTGGAAATGGCAGCAATGGCTCCGCGGCCACCGGACTGGGCGTGGCCAATGGAGGCGCGTACTCAACGACCGTGAATCCGACACGCAATAATGGCGGCACGACGCCAACGACACCAGCTGGCGGAAACGGAAATAATGGCAGCTCAGCCGCTGGCAGAGCCGGCAGCAGCGGCAGCGGCGCGGGCGTCTTGAACAGCAGCGGCGCTTGCGTCTGCCCCGGCGGCAGCATCTCCGGCAGCAACTCGGGCACACTTGCCGGCATTGTGGCCGGCGGCAGCCTAATGTCCACCGGCCCAACCACAACCACAACTGTGCTGCTGGGCGCCAAGACAACAGCTGGCGGCGCCGGCTCCAATCTGGGCCTGGGCGCCACCCTCAACGACGACGGCACCCTCAGCAACGCCGAGACGCTGCTATCCTCCAATGCCCGCTTCCAGGCCATCTCGGCCATAGCGGTTGCCCAGGACGGTGTCATCAATGTGGCCGATCAAGGTGAGTACATTAATTCCACTAAGAGAGAATCTTGATGCTGGATGTCAAATTAAATAGTTCAGCCTGGCTGCAATTAGAGGAAAAGTAAGTGGAAGCAGCAGTTAAGAGTTGACAAAGTGAATAGATAAGTTAGAGGCAAGCCTCAAGCTAAGCGGCAGCAGCAGAAAGAAGCTTAGTCTTGAGCGAGAAGCTCGCAAGTAAGCACAATCAAAGCAAGGAGATGAACTAGCTAACGGAATGAATAGCTGTTTGAATACATAAATAGAAGCAAACGATAAGCTGTGTAGAAGGGAGAAGCATTTAAGAACAAATAAGTGAGAAGCGAGCAGCATTGTAATAAGTGCTTTAGACTGGTAATCGAACTGCAATCGCAAAAGATTTATAATATAAATGCCAGCTCACCTCAATGCTTCTCGCTTCAGTTAATGATAAATAAATAATGAATAAAATCATTAAAAAAAGTTGTAAATTTCCAAGTGAATATCGAACGCAATTGACCGCAAAGGCAATGTAGATGTAATCAGTTAGCGTGTTGAATAATCGCAGCTAATAAACGCAGACGCGAATTCATTTGCTAGATGTCAATTCCAAATGAATACATTCAATTATTCGAATGAATATTCATGCAGCACTTAGCGCACGCACTCTAAGTGGGGCATGTGTGGCGCGTGCCCGCCTCCTCCATGGCAGCTGGGCATCCGTCTGCCATGTTCTCTAAATCGAAATTTGTCAACTGCAAATAATATACACACACACACACCCAGTCACACACACACGCACACACACACACACTTTTGGAAAATGTTACATTTCCTTTTTGCCAAATTTAGATCGTATTTTATTTTCTTTCACTTGCTTTTGCCAGTGATTTTTCAAGCTGTGTTATCAATATGAAAAGAAAAAGAATCAGAGAAGCAGTGACAAGAGAGAGAGAGACAGAGAGAGGGAGCGTGAGATAGAGGGAGACAGGTAGCATTTGTTAAAAGCGGAAGTGAAATTTGCGACATATTGCAAAACACAAAACGCAACAACAACAACACGGGCTGTACAACAATGACAATAATAATAATAATAATGACAACAACAACAACAACAACAACAACTGGAAGCAGTTGTCACAGCTGTGGTTGTTGTTGTCGCTGTAATTGGCCATTATGGCAAAAGCATTGAGCGGGAAATGAAATGTAGAAGTGTACGTAGCTGCTAGGGTAGGAGAAAGAGTGAGAGGGAGAGGGGGAGGGGGATGGGGAGGGGTAGGGGGAGAAAATGAGTGCTGGGGAGCTGTAGCCAGCGGGAGCAACCGTCAAGCGAAGAAGAAATAAAAAGCGAAACCAATTTCCGTCACAATTCGAACGAGGACAAATTAGGACGAAATACACACACCCAAGAACACACACACACACACCTACACAGCAGGTAGACGAAGAGGAAGCTTAAACAAAATGGCCGCCAATAAATAAGATGAAGCCCAAAGTGCTGGCAGAGCCAAAGAGCCGAAAAGCAAAAGCTCAAAAAACAACAAGAAAAGCGGCAGACCAAGAGAGCTGGCGGGCAGGGGGTAGAGCTGTGGTAGCTGGATCAAGTGGGTCGGTCGAGTGGGTGGGTTGGCAAGGTATAAATTTGAGTGCATTAACAAAACGTAATTTGATAAGACCAAAAATGTAATTAATAAATTTCGACAATGGGCCCAGACGAGCCGTGGCAGAGCAGCTAAAGCGACGCGACGCTAACGATGTGCACTGCACACGGCAACAGGAGCAAAAAAAAAAAAAAAAAAAAAAAAAAAAAACAAAAAAAATATGAGGAAAAGGGGTGGCTGGCGAGGGGCTGTGGACGCTTGACAACGCAAAACAAATTAATGAAGGGCAGGGCGCAGCATAGAAAGAAGCAGCAGCAAAAGTAAAAGTAGAAATAAATAGAAGAAGAAGCAGCAGCCGTGGAAAGCAAATCAATGACTATAATTAATCAAGTTTTAGTCGCGTCGGAAGTGGAAAGACAGAGTCTCCCCACGTGTGAGTGATTGCCCGGAGGGCAGACTGAGGAAAGTAGCTGTAGGTTCTGTGGACCGGGGCGCTTTGGCTTTGGCCAAAAGCGAAAAAGTGAAAATCAATCTTATTACCTACGCGGCGAATTGGCGCTTGTAATGCGAAACGAAAGCAAAACCTCGAACCAAGCCAAAGACCCAGCCCATCCTCAGCTGAAAGCTGTGAGCGTGCATTAATCAAAAGCGCAATGTGTGTGTGTGTGTGGGTGTGTGTGTGTGTAGAAGACACTCGGTAGTAAAATATGCTGAGGGTGGGGCAAGAGTTGGGGGCTTCGTTAGCCCGAGCCAAACGTAAATAAGCTTCATTAAAAGCTTATAGCTTAAGTGCCAATGCAAGAAGCTACACTGAGCGAAAAAGCTAATCTATGTAGCATATTACATGGCTTCCATATTTTATGCGAGTGGCAATTAGCAACTATATATATATTAAAAACTTTCTCTTACATTTAGCAATAAATAGTTTCAAGTTAGTTGAGTATTTCGCCAAGTGTAGCCGTGTGTGTTGCGTTGCTAGCTTAGACAGAGCAGAGCAGAGCAGCATTGGCTTAGACGCTGAGAATTGGAGCAAATGACAAGGCAAAAGCTGATCAATGGGCGAGCTGGCAACACTGAACAACTAGGGGTAACTGGGAATAATCAGAAAAGTTGTAACCTAAACTCATTAATCGCACACACACAGAGAGAGAGGGAGAGGGAGAGGGCGTCGATACTTGGCCTGTAATTAAAAAGAAAAACTCATTAAAATTGAGTTTCATAAGCTATACAAAGTTTAAATGAGCAACTATGGCAAAGGTGGCAACTCTGCTCAGCTAACCATATATGCTGTTTGAAAGCCAACTATTTGATAACTTTTGCCAGCGCAGAGACTGCTTTCACCCACCCACTCTATATATATATATATATATCTAGCTCTCTTCGTTCAAACTCCTCGAAATTCAACAGTTTCTCCCCGTGCAGCATTCGTAACTCTGATTTCTTGACATAAAAAGCGTAATTCCCTTAATTTTGCGCACTTTTTGCTGTCTCCTCTTTGTGCTGCATTCGTAAACGTTTCGCCATCCACGCTGCATTCTAATTTGAATGGGACTAACTAACTGTAACTAAGTAACTAGAACTTACCCTTAGCAGAGCTCAGAGTTGCACAGTAAGCACAAAGCGAAGAAGCGTGGAGGAGCTCGGGAGACAGATAGCTGTATCGGGGCGCGCGTGGGAGAGAAAATGCATTTAAATTCCATTTGAATGAATATTGGCAACACTTGTGCGCTGTCACATATGCCAGCTAGAAAAACAGCTTAAAATCAGTGAAGCTGAACGAGTGAGCGACTGAACGACAAACCGATAGACCAATAGACCCACAAAAACCGATACATGCTGAGCATGTGGGCGTGAACACAAAACCCCTTTTCGCAGCGAACAAAGCGGGAGAGAGAGGGAGAGAGGGAGAGTGGAAGAGTGGGAGCAGTACCGAGGCGACTGACTGGCAGCCAGCCCTTTGGCACAGCGACGAGCACAAACAAGTTGTTCACTTTATGGGGTCATTACCATTACATTACATTACATTATACATACACACACACATGCACATATGTGCCAGGGGGTAGGTGGTTGGATGGCTGGGGGCGCACCCTCGCAACCTCCAGTGGAGCGAATTGCATTGCATTGAAATTCGCTCAATCGTTGACGCCACAGCATTTGGCGCTCTGCCAATGTCCTGCGTCCTGAAAATCCAGCCACGCCCACTCGGCGGCCCCCATACGTAGCTGCTGTTTTTGCTTTGCCCGCAAACATGGAAAACTTGTCCCAAATTGTGACCCCAAAATGGATACTCAGCCAACTGTTTGGCTCTTCTTCTAGCGCGCTGGGTAAATGAACTGTAACGCAATCAAATCAACACCGACAACAACAGCAACAAACAACACAAACAACGTCTTAAATATTTTATTGTCATATGCGAGCGATTATCATTTTAATGTGAATGCGAATGGGAATGGCAATGGCAATGGGAATGGGAATGGCAAAGAGTGAGTGTTGGATAACGAAAGCCGAAACTCCAATACACTTGAAGACATGCCTTGTTAGAAAACTTGAAGATATCTAATATATATATATATATATATATAAATGATTGAAGAGGTCCATGAGACAACAGGGCAGAGAACTCATTACTTTTAAAATAGTTTCTATATATATATAGAGATATAGGTGGGCGTTATGAAACAGAGTACAGTTGCTGTCAGCAGTAATGGAAGCAACTGCAGCTACTTATTTCTAACATGCTGTCTACGTCTCTGTCTGTCAGTGTTGTCAACTGTTGTCGTCGCTGTTTGTCATGCAAAGCTGGCAAAAACAAGCAAATTTATGCAAATCCAAAGCGATTTACCAACACTAACTTAAAATGTAACGCAACACAGGCAAAAGCAACAGCAACAGCAGCAGCAACAACTGTGGAACAACAGCCAGCAAATTGCACAAAAATACTTAAGGCAGGCAGACACTCGTCTCGCTCTCGCTCGCCCTCACTCGCTCTCACATTTTGTTACTTTTTTTTTTTTTTTTGGTGCACAGATTTTAAAACTTGCAACGTTCTATGGGCAGACGAACTGAGTTGAAGGGTCTGTAAAAGCAAACAGCTGCAAGAAGTTGGCGTTTAGCTTAAGCAAATGCAGTCACAAGAAAGAGAGAGAGAGGGAGATGTAGAGAGAGTGAGATAGAGAGAGACGGCCCACAATAGCAAGGCGCATTTAATGACCATTTTGAAAGATATTTTATGTTTCACAAATACTGGCTTGCAAACCATAAAGTACAACAGCATAGTCAGCCGTAAAGCTAGAGCATTGCATCCATAGGGTTTCATGGCTGAGACCAGCTGCCATAAGGCCAAAAGCTAACATATTTGGTATATCATTTCATATAAATAATGATTGAGAGCAGCAATGTTTTCAGCTAGGGTATCTACTGATAGATAGACTAGGTATATAGCTTGCTCAATGATGTCTATGCCAGGATCTATCCACTCAAGTCTCTAAATAACAAAATCCCTTTACCTTCTCCGCTTGCAGGCTCTCTCCATGTACTCGCCTTGGAGCACTATTTGCCCTCGCACGATGAGAACGGCGAGTTCCATATACCATTCCCGCCGTCGAGCGAGATCTATGTGTTCAATCGTTACGGTCAGCATGTGGCCACCAAGGATCTGACATCGGGCAAGACACGCTACAGTTTCCTCTACTCGAAGAACACGAGCTTTGGCCGACTATCGACCGTCACGGACGCCTCGGGCAACAAGATACAGTTCTTGCGTGACTATAGCAATGTGGTTAGCTCCATTGAGAATACACAGGATCACAAGTCGGAGATACAGATCAATGGCATCGGCATCATGACCAAGCTGAGCGAGAAGGGACGTCAGGAGATCGAGCTGGACTATGATAGCAATACGGGTCTACTCAACTCACGCTCCTCGGGCGGTGAGACGTACATCTACCAGTACGATGAATTTGGCCGTGTCACGGGCATGATACTGCCCAGTGGCGAGATCGTGCGCATCACCTCTCAGCTGGCGGACAACAAGGGACTGACAATTTATGTGCACGCCTCCGTCGAATCGCTGTTCTCCAGGGAGCGCATGTCCGGCGCAGGCGGCTCTGGCGAGAGCAATGCCAACGAGCTGCTCGTGTTGGGTGGCGTTCGTTCCACGTTCCTGAAGCGCGGACGCGCCCACGCCGATGCCGAACTGAAGGCCAACAATACGCTGGTTATACATGGCGCCAATGGAGTTGTCGTGGAGGCTTCGGCCGTGGCGCGACATCCCCTGCTAGAGGCTGCGCTGCCAGTTGAGGCGGAAATGTTGGCCATGTGGTCGCATCAGAGCGTCACCATGGGCGATGGTCTAACCAATTCCATGTACTCCGTTTACAATCTGGTCGGCGATGTGCGCAATCCGCAGCAGACGCTGAATCGCGAGATTTGGGTGAATCAGTCGCGTGTTATTGGCGTCGAGTTCGATCAGTTCACCAATCGAGAGACGTTCTACGATGCGAATCGCACGCCCATATTGATTGTGGCCTATGATCAGTCCGGTTTGCCGAAATCTTATTATCCGACGAACGGATATCCTGTGAATATCACCTACGATCGCTTCAATCGTGTCGAGGGCTGGGCCTGGGGTCCGGCAGAGCTCAAGTACAGCTACGACCGCCATGGCTTGCTCTCGGAGATCACCTCACAGCAGGACGGCATCATCAGCTTCGTGTACAACGACTGGAACCTTGTCTCCGAGATCGGCTTGGCCAGCCAGCGAAAGTTTGTGCTGCAGTACGACGATGCTGGCGGCTTGCGGCATGTCGTCCTGCCGTCGGGCACACGTCACAGCTTCAGCATGCAGACATCCATTGGCTTCATACGTTGCACCTATACGCCGCCAGGCAGCACGCGCGCCTATCTGCAGCACTACAGCCATGCGGGCGCCTTGCTTCAGACCATATTGCCCGGCGATGGAGCGCGAATTGTCTATCGCTACAATGCCGCCGGTCAGCTGACGGAGGTGGTGCACGGCGACGGGCGCAGCGAGTTCCAGTACAATGATGCCACTGGCATGCCCAGCACCGTGTCGCATGCAGAACGCGAGCTGGAGTACCGCTGGGACTTTGAGTATGCGGCCGGACTATTGACCGAGGAGCGCATCGACTATGTGGCCAAGACGGGGCTGAGCAATGCCAAGTTCAGCTATGAATATGACAGCCAGCTGCGCGTGGTGGCGCTTCAGGGACGCATTGGCGGCCAGAGCTTGCCGAGCCAGGCGTACGCCTACGACAGACGCACCGGACAGCCCAGCCTGATTGGCCAGTTCAAGTTCACGCGTCCAGCTTTGAATCAGACCCAACTGCACGATGGCACCGCCGGCTTTACGCGCACCGTCGACGGCCGCTTCCAGACGCAGTGCATGGCCCTCTCCATACACCGCCTGGAGGTATTCCGCATGGAGTTCACCTATGGCGTGCACGGACGCATTTCCCAGACACGCACCTACACCCGCAACATGGCAGTCAACAGCTACACGAATGTGAAGAACTATACGTGGGACTGCGATGGGCAGCTGGTGGGCGTCGAGGCGCAGGAGCCCTGGGGCTTCCGCTATGACGACAATGGTAATCTGTTATCCTTGACATATCGCGGCAACACCATACCCATGGAGTACAATGCCCAGGATCGTATTGTCAAGTTCGGCGAGGGCCAGTACAAGTACGATGCCAGAGGCTTGGTCGCACAGAATGCGAGGGAGGAGCGCTTCCACTACAATACCCAGGGGCTGTTGGTGCGCGCCTCGAAGCGTGGACGCTTCGATGTCAGATACTACTATGACCATCTGAAGCGCCTGACTACCCGCAAGGATAACTTTGGCAATGTCACCCAGTTCTTCTATACGAATCAGCAGCGTCCCTATGAGGTCTCGCAGATCTATTCGCCGCGCGATGGCAAGCTAATGTCGCTGACCTACGACGATGTGGGCCATTTGATCTATGCGCAGGTTTACAGGCACAAGTACTATGTGGCCACGGACCAGAGCGGCACGCCGCTGATGCTGTTCAATCAGTACGGCGAGGGCATTAGGGAGATAATGCGTTCGCCCTTCGGTCACATCGTCTACGACTCCAATCCGTATTTGTATTTGCCCATCGATTTCTGTGGCGGCATTTTGGACCAGGTGACAACGCTGGTGCACATGGGCGATGGACGGGTCTATGATCCATTGATTGGCCAGTGGATGTCACCCGATTGGCAGCGAGTCGCTGAACGCATCATTACGCCCACTCGCCTCCACTTGTATCGCTTCAATGGCAACGATCCAATCAATGTGGGCCAGGAGCGTCATTATCCCGCCGACTTTGCCAGCTGGCTGCGTACTCTTGGCTACAACGTTGGCAACCTAATGCCGCAGCTGGCCAAGGACTTGTGGCAGCCGCCAGCGCTGTGGGGTCGCCCGCCAACCAATCCAATTGCCCTAAACATGCGCCGTCCCTTCGACAATATACCCACCATGGCCGTCGAGAGCGGCTTCCTGGCACATCTCAACGTTCGCCGCATGTCCGACTTTGAGCAGCTGTCGGCGCCACCGCGTTCCGCCCTGAAGTGCGATGTTATGGATCCGTCGCCGAGGATCATCGGCTCCGATACGGAACCGCCGTTTGGCAAGGGTATTGTCGTTTCGCGCACCGCTGACGGCCAGGCGATCGTGTCCAGTGTGCCGGCAGCGAACGCCATCTATCGGGATGTCTATACGAGCGTGTTCAATCGCTCCAAGCTGCTGCCGTTCACCTTTGTGGTGCACAATGCACAACAGGACTCGTTCTTCTTTGTCAAGGAGGATGCGTGGCGCGCCAGCGAGGACCGGCAGCAGCTGAAGCGTCTGCAGGGTCAGGTCAACACCACCTTCCATGAGATCACACGCGAGTCGACGCCAGCCGGCTCAGCTGGGGCAGCAGCCGGTGGTGCCGCTGCTGGCAGCTCATCGGGCGGCAATTACTTGGATGTTAAGATCCATGGCGCGCATGCGATTATCAATTTGAGATACGGCACCACCGTGGCCAAGGAGCAGCAGCGTCTGATGCATCACGCCAAGTTGACGGCGGTGCGCAAGGCTTGGCATCGCGAGAAGGAGGCACTACGCAGCGGCCTCACCACAGCACTCGAGTGGACACAGCAGGAGAGCGACGAGATCCTCAAGCAGAGCTATGCCAACAACTATGAGGGTGAGTATATACACGATGTCGCTCTCTATCCGGAGCTCGCCGAGGATCCCTACAACATCAAGTTCGTGAAGAAGAAGGGCGCTACTGGCGGCGCGGCCGGCGTCTCCAATACCCAGCGGCGAAGGCGAAGTCTTAACTGGTCCACGGACGAGCACGATGCGACGGCGGATGCAGAGCCGCCTGTCGCGTGTTAGCTCCTGGAAACCCCCCAAAAACGAAACAACACAAGGAAAGCCCACTAAATATAATTAAATATTTATAACTATCATAAATACGAGTATTATAGCCACGGGGTTAGCAAAGGAACGGATACAGAGACCGAGACAGAGGTAAAGCAGAGTTAAAGCAAACGAAAGTGGAGCATGGAGAGAAGGCGCAACTGTACTAAATACTAAATAATAGGCCTACAGAATTAAATATATACAAATATATATGTTACTCAATTCATTTTTTTTAAGTCCAAGCTAAAAACAATTTTTTTTATTATTATTAATCGTTAGAGACTAGAAATGCGACAGAGCAAATGCATAAAACGTAAAGGATAAATAATATATGGCATGCCATTAGCGCTATAACATATATAAAGATACAAATATATATGTGTGTATGTGTCTGTGTGAGTGTGTAGATGTATATGTGTGCGTGTGTCTATATAGCATGCTATACATATATATATATACTCATATATAAGCATACGACAGTTCTTACCTTTAGATATATATATATACGAGTATAAATAAATATATATATATATATATATATATATATATATGCATGTGCATATACACCAACACACAAACAATAAACAACTTGAAGCAGCCTAGCATGATATAGGGCATAGACCTATCGAATAATACGAGTGGAAAACGCATAGAAAAAGAAGAGATGGAATTTTTTTTTTTTTTGTTATATAATCTTGGTACTCGAGCTTTTTGAGACTGGCATAGTTTTAAACGAAATCAAGCAAAACACAGATACACACACAAGCACACACACACACACACACATATATATACAGAGCAAAAATTGAGCGAAAGTCGAGACGAACATATGCTACGTGTCCCATAAGTAAATACTATATGTGTACACATACATGCATATATATATATATATATATATATATATATATATATATATATATATATAGACATACATATATATATGCATAAATATATATATATTCCATAATAAGTGTATATAAATATATTTAAATATTTAAAAAAAGAAATGCAAGTTAGTTTTAGGCGTCGTCGCAGCTGTAGCTAATCTAAGCCAAGTTTAGACCAAACACAGAGAAAGAGACAGACAGAGGAGCTAGAGACGGAGACAGCGATAAGGTATGGAACACAAGCTCATGCTATATATGCATGCATATGTAGCCCAACTTCGTATAGGAGAGGAAAATGCAAGAAAGTAAAACATAAAAGAATATTCAACTAAAATATAGATATAAATATATATTAAACATATATATGCGCCATAACTATAACTGTAATTGTAACTGTAAAACGACGCCGCCAATAAAACAGGCCAAGCAAAATTGTTAAAATGAAAATCCAATTTTAAACTCCAAATTTAGCTTTTACAAAACAAAACAAAAATCATTTTAATAATTTTTTTAAATTATTTTTTACGCTTACATTTAATTAATTTATTATTGCGAGGAGTATTAAACTAATTAAAAAACAAATATTTATACATACGCATTGATTATAAATTTACATAAATCCTTTTTTTTTGCATCCTAAACTAAACTTTAGCCTTACAAATTATGATATGTAAAATGTTTTGTTATTATTTTTAAGTTTTGCGAGTAAAAAGAAAAAACAACACGAGCAAAAATAATAAAGAGAAATGCGAAATAAATAAAACTTAAAATTTAAAAAGAAAACATTCACAAAAGAAAATAAAAAGAAACAGTATTAAGTAGCGGGAATACCCATGCTAAATTCCAGAGAAAAAAAGAACAATATTCAGTCGAGATTCGTTTTCCGCCTTTCGGTTCACAGTGCAGTTGGTTCATTTTCTCCGTCCAAAGCTTCGAAGACAGACATCAACACGAGTTTGAGTTTTCACTTGAATTGCGATTTCAGTTTGGCAAGAATTTTGCGTTCTTTGATGAATTGGTGCTTATCGAATTTATTGCAAGAACTACTTAGAATAAACTATTGTAAAAATAATATACGAAATACGAATAAAGAATGTTTTTTTTTTTTCTTGATCTTTTAGCGCTTAAGTCAGGCAGAGAGAAAGCGAAATATAGTTTTGGCATAGAGAAAACTAAAATGGAAAAAGAAAATAGAAAAAGAAAAATTGCTGAATTAGTTGCAAAAGCAAAAACCCAAAAATAATAAGAAAATTTTTTAAAAATTTTGCAAACGTGGCCAAAAAACCAAATGAAAACAAAAGATGAAATGAAATTAAGAAAATAAATATAAAAATGGGCGAAACAGAAAACTAATACTAACGATAGCCTATAGCCGATAGCCGATAGTCGATAGCCGATAGCCGATAGACGATAGCCGATAGATGATAAACGATAAACGATAGCCGTTAGTCAATAGACGTTAGTCAATAACGATAACGATAACACGTTTAGTTTGTACTCATTAATGGAACTTGGCAAACACCGCACCCGACCTAAGCAACTGCTTACTTGATACATTGACATATATGTGTACGTGTGTCTGTATATGTATGTAGAGTGCAGCGCAATGCATGCGCCCGTGTATGTGTGCGTTGGGGTCGTGTGTGTGTGTGCCACGCCTACATGCATACATACATATTTAGCATACATAGCGTTATATCAAAAGCTTCAGCTACATAAATATAGTCGTAGGTACAGTCACGTCGCGACAGCCCTAATGCAGCTCAGCATAGAAGATCCGCGATTTTTTTTCTCGTCTGTAAGTGTAAATACTATAATGAAAAACTAATGAACTAGCAAACCAGTGTTGTATAACGCATACGAGTATATAGCATCGTACATTGTTTTTTTTTTGTTATTGTTTCAACTGTTCTGTGGCTTTTCTTGTCGCTCGCGCCTATAAAAATAAAATTTATATATATACCTAAATGTAAATGTAAAAAAAAACAAAAACGAAATGAAAATATATATATACACACACATATATATCTATATATGTATATGTAACGACTAAAAAAATACCAATTGGTATTTTTGGTATTTATCTGGTATGTATTTTGTGTGTACTGTACTTTGAACACGTTTTACTTTGTTTTCTCGATTCGGGTTTCTTTTGTTAATTGGCAAACCAAAAAACAATTTGACAAACAAAATAAAGAGCAGGAGTCAGTTACCTATTAGAATTTGGCAAGCGTTAAACAACCAACAAAACAAAACATGGCAAAAAGCTAAAAAAACATTAAAAATTGCTTCAAAAGCAACAAAATACTAAAAATACTAAAGCAAAACAAAAAAGGAGCCAAAAAAAAAAACAAAGAACTATGAGCTGAATTGCACACTAAAAAACATTAGAGCAAAGCATAAAATGGCTTAAGTAAAAAGAAAAAAACTAAAAAAAAATATTTATATGTACATAAAATGATATTTTAGTATATTTATGTTAGAGCGCCGTCAAATAAAAAATACAGGCAAAGTCAAGCAGAAAACACAACAAAAAAATACATAAAAAATACATAAAAAATACTTAGCAAATAAAGAAACAGGGAAACAATTGAGATAAACAAAAAAATTAACATTTAAACGTTTTGCACAGAACAACAAAGGATACAAAACACACACTGCCACACACACTCACACACACACTGCCACACACACACCACACTTCCACACTCACACACAAGCAAACTGCAACTACAACAACAAAGATGAAGAAAATGAAAACAAAATTTAGCAACAACAAGAATTTATGAGATATAATAAAAAAGATAAATAAACTAAATACAAAATAAAGTAAAGCAAGCAAAAAAAAAAAAACAGTTCATATTATTATTATTGAAAAAAAAGGAACAAATTATATTTACTAGACGAAAAAACCAAACAAAATACCACACTCACAAAGAAGAAGAAGAAAAGATAAGAAAAAAGAAGAAAACTTAAAGTTTGTAGTATATCAACTATGTATTTCACAACAAATAGAAAATAATATAAAAAAAAAGAAAAAACAAAAATATTGTAGGACAAATTCTACTTAAAGTAACGTAAAGTAAAAAAAAATTTTTTTTTGTAAACCTAGTGAAAAAGTCCCGTAAAGCCCGAAAGGAATGCTAAGATAACGACTAAAGTGCGCGCAGAAAGCAGCGAAGAGAGAAGCAAACGAGAAGCAGACGATTTATAACTAAGCATATGAATATATTTACATATATATATATATGTGGATATATATATATATATATATATGGATATGTATGAAGAACAATTATATATGGCATTATATTACAAGCAAGCGAATAAAACAATATGCATACAGTATAATAATAATATTACTAATAATAATACTGATTATATATGTATGTGTATGTAATAATTAATAAATATATATATATATATATATATACATATATATATATATATATATATATATATATATATATATATATATATATATATATTTATATATATTTTAAGCGTATTAAGTTGAATTATAAAATAAACCACACACTTCTGAGGATATCAAGGGTCTAAGAATAAATAAAAACTAATGAATTAATTAAAAATAAATAAATAAATGAATATAAAGCTAAATGTCAACCAACATCACTGTTTGTACTTTCATTTCATCAGGTGGATTCGAGGCGAGGCTAAGCCAAACAAATGAATTTTAATTACATTCTGTTTCAGCTGCATGCAGTCGCCTGATTGGCAAGTTCATTTGAATAGCAAGTGAAAGGCTGTGCAATATGCCACGCCTTACAGGGGCGGCAATCAGTATTGCAGATCTGCAGCAATGCGAAGTGTTTGTAGCACTGCCGTCTCGACTTGGTTGGGTTCAGTTCGCAGCAAACTGCATTTGGATGTTGGCTTTAACTTATCAGCTGACGAAGTGCATGTTACATAGTGTCTACCAGTAGCCAGACAGGACATAGCCGGAACAACTACGAGTTGCCAGGCTCGATCAACAATCCATCGAGATGCTCTAGATGAACTCTCGCTAGCACAGAAAATTTTGCTGACTCTCAGCGCTCTCTCAAATGTATGTCTGAATGAATGTATGTTATATGTAGGTATGCATGTATGTATATATGTTTGTTTGCATATATGTATATACATACATCATATATATGTATGTAAATGCTGCTTTACCTGATAAGTAAGGCAAGAGTGGCGCAGTCATTGGTCCAAATGTCTTGAAAACAATCAAGATTCATTGTAAAAATTGGCATTTCAGATTGCGTCTCGTAGCCAAAAACATATTTAGACATTAATGTCATACATTTTTCTAATCAATAAAGCGCGTTCCATTAATATTAAAAATAAATATCTGTACTCTATTATAATGTAAACTTGTGTAACTTTAAAAGAACAACCCAAGGTA